GAGACATGCTTGTCCCTCTCTGTAGCTGCAGAGAACTCTCTGAGAGACAAAAGGGAGAAGAGAAAAAAACCCAAATTCCTTTGTTCCAGTTTGAAAAGTCCCACCTACATTCTTATTGGTCACTCCACCTGGCTAGGTGTAGTTAACCCCTTAATCCCCAGTCTGCTGGCTAACCCTCATAATTATGACAGCCGGTACCAAGCAACCGCGCAGGATTGTTTTTATTGTCTGTTTTATTCCTAGAAAATAAGCTTGGATCCAAAGGAGCCAGCTGGCTTTTAGCTCATAGAATAGAGACTTTTATGTCCATCAGCGAAAGACGGCTCTAGCCCCATGCTAGAAAGACCCTTACCAAGTTTTGCTAACCACCTGTCTAGACCCATGCTTCCCACTGCAAAAAAGACCTCTCCATCTCGAAATGATCCTACCCCGACTGCTGATAAGCCTATCTCTCCTTCTGGTCCTGCTTTTCCTCCTGGTGGACAATAAGAGATGAGTACAAGGTGAAGTGCTAATAACCTCTCCCTTGTCCACTGTCAGCATTACCATACATTCAGTATCTGCCAGAAGAACCAAAATATTACAGGGTGATGTGCTGGTAAGCTCTCCCCTGCATAATGCTGAACCATGACCGTTTCGGGAAAGAAGAAATGTCAGTTCCGCTGATATCGCCAAAACCCAGAGATTTCTGGATATTAAGAACTGACCTTGGTGAAAGAAGCGAAGTATTGTATATTGTCAAGGAGAAACTTGTGGGAGTGGTTTGGGTTTCTCCCTTTGATCTGGACTCTGTGCTTACGGATGGGTACCATCAGCATGTACTGCCCTCTCTAATTAGTTTTTAGATTCAATTAACCCTTACATTCCAAATACCCTTTAATTGGATTACCTTAGTACACGACGGATTCCAAAATCTGCTTTCACTCTTATCAGAGGTCCAGAAAATCTCTGAACTGCAAGGTCAAATGCATGCACCCCCAAATACATATCAAATTGAGAAACATGCTTTTCATACAGCCTATAAAATATCTCTCGTGTACTAATTATGATATATTGTATTATGTTACTATGATTATGAAACAGCCCCATTATAGAATTATATTGGGATATTAATGATTTTCTTGCTTTTGCTTATTTTAGAAATATTTTATTGAAAAAGATGTAATAATAGAAATAGCTTTTATGTATTGCCTAAATATGTATTGCAGTTATAATTTGGAAATAGAAATGCAATGCCTAATGGAAATAGAGATTTAGAAAGTTAGTTGTGCTAATAGCACAAAAGGGGGGAGTATGGAAGCAGGAAAAAGGGAATAAGGGAATTTGTGTGCAGCCATCTTGGTCTTGTTAGCAAGAGAGCAAGAGTAAGGCTAATTCTGATTCTTGACAACGCAAGAGCTGTAATAAAATGCTGCCTTCTCCTCTCGCCTCCATATGGAGATAAGGATAGAATGCTGACTCTAGCAGGGACCTTGAGATAAGGAGCATCTGGGTGGAACTAAAATAACTGTTAGCCATTGGTGTTTGTAATGGGAAGGAGACTAATTGTTATTGTTATTATATCTAATAGATAGTATATAAACTGCTTCATAATTGCTTGTATTCAAAGATCTGCCTTGGTGGGGGGGGGCTCCCCCCCTGTCCGAACTGTTTTTTCCCTTGCTGCAGCTCGTAAAAAAACTGCCTCTGGCTACTTGTTGCTTAAACACAACGCATAGTGAAGGCCTGTTTTCTTCC